AGTATATACACACACATGTATATTATATATATATATATATATATATATATATATGTAGAACTTGATAAATAAAGTATAAATAATTATTTTTTTACTTGTAAATAATAAATAGAATATAAATATTAATAAACGCATTGTGGATACCATTGCCATCCTCGTCATATATAGGATAAAGGCCGGAAAGGCTCTTGAAAGAATTCAGATTACGTCATGCAATTTGCTTGTTAAGAAATTATAGCTAAAGAATATAAGAAGAAATTTCCAAGTGAAAGATTCAGCTTTTTCTATCTGTCTCCTCTTCTTCAATATATATATATATATATTGCATGTCAAATAAGCATAATGATGGGTTAATTGGCAATTATTATCTATGTTATAGACTAAGATTCAAGATAGAGCTAGATTGTTTTAGTAATGACCAGGTAATAAAAATTTTATTTTTCAAATATCTTAATAAATAAAAACTACTCCTACAATAGCCGGTCATTACATCCAAGAGATAAGGAGAGCAGTTTTTTTTTTAAAAAATTTAAACTCCTGAACATGTTTAAGGAATTAGCAAACACCGAGATGTTACAATAAAAAAAAAATCAAAATAATTATCAGCCATTAAAGTTTTTCTAGAAAATATTTTTTTGTGAGAAAATACGATTCTTTAAAATGCTCAATAAATAAAAAACCAACTCAAATACTTAAATTCAAGTAAATTTTAAGCAGGTAAAAAGATTTCAAAATTCATCGTCATTAAATCTTTTATCAAAGTAAAATATTAAAATTACAAAAACATTGAAGATAAAAAACTTGGAAATTTATTGATAATTAGAATTTTAAAAACCATTTCATTAGTAAAATTATAATTTTTAAAAATATATAAAAAAACATTTTAAATAATTTTGATTTCTATGATTTCTCTTGTTTTTTTCCTCCAAAACTTTCAATGTTTAGGAATTTTTCAAATGTTTATATTTTAGAAACACTAGCCTTCTTATCTCATAAGTATTTTCAAGATTTTTTTTTTAAAAATTGCATTTCAGGACATTTTAGCTGATAAAAAATAAAATGCAATGAACAAGGCCACTCTGTACTGGTTGGTTCTATTTCAAGGTCAACGTATACCAACAAGGTCAGGACCACGTGATATTTTATCCAATCCCATCTGCAGTGATACTTCATGACCGTATATCTTAGGCTCCATTAGATTTTGTCTTGTCTTTTTTAAAGAACTATTTCCCACATTTTCAAGTGTTTAGTGATTTTCTTGAAAAATAAAATAACAAAAAATAATTCCAATTTCTTGAGCATTATTTTTTTTTGTAGGATTCATTTTTTGACAGGCAAAAAGGCTTAAATATATCCACAATCAATCGAAAGCGTAGATGTCATTCGAGCTTCTTTGGATTCCCCTTGTTTCATATACTTGTGCCCTTCTTTATCAATTCTCGTACACAGATAAAGCTAGTAAAGAGGTAGAACTGGGCCAAGAGGCAATCAATTCATAGCATTTCCCTTCAGATTATTCGTGTCAGAAGTCGCAATTAAAAGCCCCAGTTTAACCAGTTGAAAGCCCATTTTCTAAACGAAGAACAATGATTTGCTATCAAAGTATATGCATATAATCACATGCTAATGTTGGACCAAAGAGCATAAAAATGGAATTTTCTCATGGTTAATAAGCCCAATTTAAAAGTTTGACCCGCTAAAAGATCTTGATTATAAAAAAAATGACCAGTCTTTTTTTTCAATTAAAACCATGTTATTTTAAAAAAAATCAAATCAAATCAGCAGATTTTGAAAAGAAAAACTTGGTTGTCGGTGAATTGAGCAAGAGAGGCAGGGGCAGGTTGGGTATAGTAAGAGCCAGCCATTCTAACTACACTTACAAGATGGGGTCTGGTAAAATGGTCCCGACATGTCATTGATTGTATGGTTTACAAGTTTGGTATAATTGAGGTGCCAGCAATGCGATTGGAGAATATTTTAATTTTTTTTTGTATTTTTGAATTATATTACTATATTAATATTAAAAAAATATGATTTCCATGTATTTTCAATCAAATTAGCGGTAATGTTGATGGGGCAACCTAGCTAGCATAAAAAAAAAACACACAACTGTCTACAGGGTGCGTGTTAGGAAATGATTTACCAGACGTCCTGTTTTTCACAGCTATCAAAGCTCCTGATCGGGTAGGCAGAGACCTTTTGCATGCCAAAACTTTTCCAGAGATCGCCCTGGATTGGAATAACAGGGAATACACAGCAGTTGACAGATCCAAAATGGCCGAGCTAACTCAACTACTTTCCCCAAGACGAAAAGAATGCCTGGCTTGCATGTGTTAAGCATATACATACATACATGCATACATACATACACGCGCTATAGAGCGAGCCATGATCAAACTCGTATTTTGAGCATGATTGAGCCATGCGGTGGTAGGATCTAGTGAACCGGGCATATTGCTTGCTACTCTAGTGATACTGTGATAGTGTGGAGCTCTCAAAACAACCACCATTGGAATTCGTACTAGTAGAAAGGACGATTTTTCTTGTTAAGATAAAAAAGGTAATACATTTGATTGCTTGGCTAGAAGCAAGAAAAACGACAATAAAATACATGGCAACAATAGACACGAGCTGGAATGATTAAACACGGCACAGACAGCAGAAGACTTGGATGCACAGACCCGGCTAGCTAGTAACCGAAGCTTAGCATTGATACCACCATGCTTACTAAAGGAACAGTTATGTTGTCATCTACTACCTCTGTAATTGGAAGGGACTCAACAACAGTTGCCACCAAAGCCACCAAAGCCACTCTCTGAATTGTCCATGTCCAATCCAACTGGAAATATCCGAGGGCTGAATAGTAGGACAGCATCCTAGTTGTCAAGACAACAAAGAAAAAAAAGGTCTAATAAGTATTTAATGGTACACAGTAGTTCATTACAATACGGCATGACTGGTTAGAATTTTAGGTGATCTGAAACACACCCAATAGAAATCAAGAAGCCACAGGTGAGCATAGATAGGCTACCAGCCCAGCTCTTGTGTTGATTGTAAGGAAGCTTCAATGACCCAAATCTTCTACCGATTATATCAGCCACACCTAAAGACCACTAAAGAGAAATCAATCGATAGCTTTAATGAGCCCTTCAATATCAAACAACGCAAATTTGAACAACGGAAATTTATGAGGTTTTTAGGCTTTACCATCCCCACCACACATCATGGCCAAAGAGATCACCCCAGTTGGAGACTCACGCCAAAAAACAAGAGCACACAAAATCAATATCAAAACATAATACAAAGGTCCTCTCAGCAACTCCCTGTAAGAAAAAACAACAAAAGATCATCAGCTTTGCTTGTTCAGAAGAGGAACGAAAAGCCCATGAATAGTCAATGAGATAATGAGAAAAATTACTGCGGATTTCCTTCTCGAGTAACAGATTTAATGAGCCCTTCATCAGTAACCAAAGAGAAGCCATGTACAATAAGCCTTAAGCAATTCACAAGAGGTACTACAGAAGCAAAGTAGCGAGCCTGTGCTGAGGTGCTATTCCAGGATCAAACATCACGAAGAACTGAGGTATAAGTTAAAGCAAGAAAAACTCAAAACTCAAATCCCAACATAATCCCAAGATTCAATTTCTGAGGTTGAATTTCAAAGAACTCCCACAAGGATTGATACCTGAAAATAGGCCAGCAACCAGCAAAAAGCAAGCCTGAAAGAATATGAACTAGTTTTCTGCTCAAACTCTGTTGAATGAGATTTCGCTGAGTGAGAGTATCAAAAGTGCGAACGAGACCGTAAGCACCAGCAAGTACAGTAGCCGTGGCACCGGCGTCTTGAAGTAGAGGTGCGGTGGCGGAAAGGAGGGAGGAGCGAGGAATGTAAGAAGGAAAGGAAACGAGACGTCGGAAAGGAAGTACTGGTGGATTGGGCAAGTTCCAGCGAGGAGGAGGAGACGGAGGAGGGGAGAGGTGGATAGAGGTGGTGTATTTGTGTACGTGGCGGCGTAAAGAAGAGTGAGAGAGGGTAAGAGTGCAAGACAAGAGGGCCATAGATGTTCGTTTGGCAACGGGCGGCGTGGGGTCTCTTTCGTATGTTTAATGCCTATAATGGCTACTGCTTGCCCTCCTCTAGGCTGTCTTTGGGCATTATTTCATCGAGTCAAATTAAATCACATGTAATGGGCATTATTTCATCGAGTCAAATTAAAGCATATGTAAAATTAAATTAAATTAAATTATATTATTTAAAATATTAATTATTTTAATTATCTTGCTTTTTGAAATGGACTAAAACATTATTTATTTATATTCTATATTACAAAAGATATATTTAGCCATCTTCTCTTTACTTCAAAACAACATTTTTTCTATTCTTTGTAGTATCCTCAAATAAAAAAAAAATAATCCTTCAAAAATATCACCGAAAGAAGCAAGTAACAATTTTCCTTTGTATTTATTCACGGGAGGTATTGTCTTCTTCAAGGACTTGGCAATTATGTGATAATGATAATAGTCTCATTAAAATTAACACTGAAAATGCTTCAGGGAAGATAGTTCCCATTACACAAACCCCTGTATCCAATCGAACATCAGCAGCATAATTCACGGAGACAAGTCCATAATTTATCATTGAGAGCAGAAAGAGGACTCGCATAAACGGCATAGCACAACCATTGCAGCCCCGCATGATCCACCACCGACAAAAGCTAAACTGAACAAAACGTGAATCATCTGAGAATTCCATAAAGCCTATATACCACCAGCAGCAAAACCCCTGGCATCCACTCTAACAACAGTGTCGAAACCCAATGTAGTGGAAATGCATTAAAATTCTAACCATATAAATTTTATTTATAAAAAA